ACTACCAGATCCATGATGGAATTTGAATTTATTGCTCTAGAAGATATTCTAATAGTCTAAACTTGTGCCAACAATCTGTATACATTGTGAAAGCTAATCTATAATTGGTAGGGCACATAGTGACAATTTTAATAGTTAGTCTAGATATATACGTCATAAACATAATACCGTTAGACAATTGTTCTTAAATGATATTATTTCTATTAATTATATAAAATCAAAGAAATATCTGGCGGATCCACTAACTAAAGGTTTGACAAGAGAACTAGTAAATTACACATCGAAGGGAATGGGCTAACCTAGTTGAGTGAAGATTTTAAGATCTAGGTTCAAAGGGACAATTGAATTATGCATGATTCAAAAGAAGCACTAAGAAGATAATCTCTCATACCTATTCCTATGATAAACTAGTGCTGCCTGCAAGTTTATTAGGGTAAACTATGTTTTTAATGACTTTTATACATTAGAAAATCAAGTGGGATATTGCGGATATTCCTAATAAAAGTCAGCTATATAGGTGTGAAGGGGCCACTTATGTAAGAATTTATAGAGGTTGAATTATCTAAAGCACTCATGAAAACTATGAGTTGTTCAAGTCCAAAATGAACACAATAATGAGAACCAATTATATTAGGAAAGAAACTGTGTGAAGTCTATTTGATATAATTTATCAAACAATTGAATAGTTCAAGACATCACGTTCATTCTTTAGCCTGTAAGTCCGATAGGCTTTCACTAGGGAAGGTTCAAGGTTAAAACTTATCTATCTCGATGCATGATCTTTTCAAGATGTACTCTCTACAGTGTGTCAGCATTATCATTTACATACTAACAACCAATTCTTCATTCATGTGGGAGATTGTTGGACCAAAACAGTTTTTAAGTGTAAAAACTGAATTTTTGGTCGACTTTGAGTCTAAATTAAAGTAGAATCCAATTGTTATTTTGAGTAAAATTTTGTAGTTTCTTGTTCTATTCCATGAAAAGAATAACGTAGTATATTCACTTGTTCAAATTGAGTAAAAAAGTAATGAGAAAATAGACTCCAAAATGACCCATTTGAATTGTAAAAATAGAGGTTGTGCAATGTTCGATTTAACACAAATCTCGCATTAGTTGAGGAAGAAATTCTACTTGTACATATATATGTCAAGTTTCCTCTGTGGGTTGGACCCTAAGGGGTACCACACTTTTATAAGAAGAGTGACCACCTACATACGATCGATTCGTCCAAACACGCGCGCCACTCGCCTCGCCATGACCCAATCCGATGTGGGTGTGGGTGTGACCCATCCTTATTATTTTTTGGAGAAAATTCGTTTTACAAATAAAACGTGAATTTTTTAACATGGGATTTAATTTCTAGTGCTTGTTGGAATTCAAATTTTGCACCTGTTCGGATTTAATTTTTCCTCCAGTCCAAAATTTTGAATTTGTGTCCATTCCCAATGGGCAGACTTCAATAGTGTATTTTGGGCTGCATGTGTCTTTTGGTTAGTGTCTGTTAGCATGATGGCTGTCCGAAACAGTCATCAGTTTGTCTATATAAAACCATACTCATTACCATTCCGCATCAATCAATTTTCGGTTTTATGGTAGCCATTAGTATATCACATTTTTGGCATTAAAGCGGTTTGCATATCAGAGAGTACACAACACAATTTCTGATTTGTTGAGTGATAGATTGAAGTACTACTTCTATTCGCGTGAAGATCATTGTATCCTAAAAGACAAACACTTTGATTTTCATGAGCAACAAGTGTGGATACAAAATCTGTCTTAAGGACATAGTGTTTAACACTAGTCTTAATATGTAGAAGTTGAATAACAATTTCTGATATGCAAATTGGTCAGTTTATACTTTGGTTTAATTACAGTTTTATTTATAAATGTTTCATTTATACTTGTAACTGTTTCGTTTTTTGCTATTACTGTTTTCTTTTAAATTGCATGATATAAATCAGAATTTTCAATAAATAATTTTGCTATATTGGAAAACTAAAAACAACAGTCACTAGCTAGAAGAATATAAGAATATTTCATTTGGTGTGCATATTATCAATATACCATTTAAAATTTAATATAAAATCCACTAACATGAATTTCATACCTTATGTCAAAACAGACGTATTACTCTTTCATTCCAAAATAAAGTTCGCTAGTATAATTTTATTACAAAAATACCACTGCCTTATCATTTTTCGTGATAAAAACATGTTAAAATTTTTTATAAAAAATCTCAATTTACACCATCAAATATAGAAATTTGTATCAATGCACACCTCAAGCTAACAACCGTTAGTTTGCCGTCTAAAACTAAATCAATAAATTACACCTAGGTTCCTTCATGCTTATCACTTAATAACCTAGACCCCTCACATTTAAAATATTACATTTACATCATTGAGAATCCAAATATGACTAAAAATGTTTCTCCAATTGGACATTCAAATAATTATGTTTAAGTGATGTATTGCATTGGATAAAAATAATAATAAAAAATTTATCCACACCCCTTCTAGTTAGGTCTAAATTCAATAACATCCCCTCCTATTCTAAAACTTCACTGCACCCCTTTTTGATTTTTACTTTTAAATCAAAGACACTCCCTTAACGGTAATGTTTAACTCTACCAATACAAAAAATAACAATTTGACTATAAAATTATTGAAAATGTCAAAACTACCATTCCTTATGTAAATATACTAAAATGTCATCAATCCTTTTTTCACTGTATATATTGTGAATATCCAAAATGATATGGGGTTGTTGGAAAACAGGGGGATTGAAACCAGCCATTATTCTTCAATTCGTTCTTCACAGTGATCGATCACTACCTAAGTTGTTAAAAAAAAATTATTTTTTTTTTCTTGCAGATTTGTAAATATTTTTATGCAGTCTTTTTAAAAAAATTTTGTTATGCAATTTTTTTTTAATTTTTTAATTTAGTTTTTCATGCCGATAGTTTTAATTTTTTTCATGAAATTTTTTTTAAATTTTTTTCTTCCAAAACACCCGTTAGACTTTTAAATGATTTAGTCCACTTTCTTACAAGTTGTTGGGTAAGAGGTACACTTTTTGGTTTCTTATTTTCTTATATTACCTAAGTTCTCTCTATGGTATGTTTTCTGTTTTTCGTTATAAATTACAGGGTTTTAAATTTATTTTATAGTTAAAAATAATTTTACTATAATAAAATTACAATTGATAAAGTTAATGTCAAAATTGCATCTATTTCTAACTTTTCTACTATCGTATGTCCTCCACAACGTCACTTGACCACTTTTCATACATCACTCTTCATACATAAAATTTAAATATTATTTGATAAAATTTAATATTAATTAAATAAATTTGGTCTTAATATGAAAATTTTAAATATTAATTTAGTTTTAATTTGATAAAATTAAATATTAATGCATGATTTGATAAAATTTAATGTTAATTAAATAAATTTAAATGTTGCTTTAATGAAATTGAATGTTCATTTAGTGTTAAATTAAATAACTGATATTAATTTGATAAGGTTAAATATTAAATTAATAGAATTTAATACTCTATTTAATATATTAAATTTTAATTTAATAAAATTAAATGTCAATTTAGTGTTGATTTGATAAAATTAAATCATAATTTAATGTTAAAATTAAAGAAATAATATTTATTTGATGAAATAAAATATTACATTAATATAAATAAATACTAATTTGATAAAATTAAATAACAATTTGTGCTGATTTGATGAGATGAAATATTAATTTAGTTTAAATTAAATAAACAACATTAATTTGATAAAATTAAATATTAAATTGATGAATCTAAAGGTTAATATAATAGAACTAAAAGGGAGTGCATTGAAATTTCAGAATCAAGAGAAGGTATTGTTAAAGATAGATTTATTTACAAACGGTGTGTATAAAATTTACCCTATAAAATATTCAGAAGTATTTTTGTAAATTAACAATCGCCATTAACGCCGTAATTTGACAAACACTAACAGCGGGTGACAGTGAAGTTTCAAAATAGGGAGGGGTGTCATTGAATTTAAAACTAATTACAAGGGGTGTGGATGGAATTTTTTCTAAATAATATTATATAAATACTTGCATTATATTGGACATTCAAATAGTAAGCTTGATTTTAACTTTAGAGTATAACGGACCCATAAAATAAATGATAGTATGAAATTATAATTTTTTATTAGAATGAAATCATATTTTTTGATTATTATATTAACAGATATGAACGACACACGTGCACAGATGTCAGGAGGTGTATAAGTAACATTCTAAATGTGAAGGGGTCTACATGATTAAGTGATAAACATGAGGAGATCAATATGCAATTTATCTATTTAGTTTTAGACGATAAATTGATAGTTGTTAATTTCAGGTGCGCTTTGATACAAATTTCTATCTTTGAGGGTGTAAATTAAGATTTTTGATCATTAAGAGTACAAATTGAGATTCAAACGATCTTTTGAGATATAATTTGCGATTAACCCAATTTTTTATTATAAATTTTGGCATAACCTAAAAATTAGGTATGATTGTAATAATGAAGCCTCGCTTTATAAATCTCTCAACCCACACCCCCTCCCCCTCCCCTTCCCCCTCCCCCACCCCCCAAAAAAAAGATAACTTAAAAAACCAAAACAAAAATGGAAAATAGAAAGGAAATTACTCCTACTGCCTCCAAGTCTGTCAGTAACACAGGAATCCTTATTTAAATAGTTCCTCTTTAGAATCACAAGCACACTAAACAATCCCAACTAGAGTCCTTTTAGAATTATCATTCTTATCCACTTTTCTTAGACTTCACCTATTAGAATCAGGACTGCTTCCAAGATTTAAAGCCCTCCCTCCCACCTAATCTACCACTTTTGTGTCCCGCACACACAAATCACAAACCGCCCACAAACACATCTTCAAAACCCGACATTCTCTCTCTATCTCTCTCCAAGTATATATCCACACACACGCACCATGATAAAGATGACCATGATGATCCGTTGTGACAATGAGGCTAAAAGCCTAGGAGTCCAAAGAGTTCTATACGTGCCTACAAGACCAAGGAGTGTACGTAAACGCATGCAGGGGAAGCAACGTGGTCTATTTATATCAAGTCTAAGGTTTAGCCCTGAAGAACTAGAGGAGAAGATTGCAAAACTCAAGTACTCAAGGGACTACTCTTTACTTTTTGAAGACATGGACGATAATACTCAGTTTTCACGTCGATTAACAGCCGATAACCTCGTTTCTTTGCACTCAAGAAGTTTTGACATCAAAGGGTCGCCGGCCCCTAGCATTAAAAAAAGATGGCTTGCATGATTCAGAAGCTCCAAAATTACATAAACAGTTATGTAGTGATGAGACTTTTCTGAAATACCCTATGATGAAGACACGTGTCCTCGGTTTTACTAAAACACTTGCTAAAGATCAAGCACCATCGGCGCTCAAGGTCCTCTCCCCCGAGGTACTCGTCATGTAGGATCATACATTCATATATTTTACAACCGACACATGGCCTCGGTCTGATATGTACCTCGGTCGGCATACCTCCTCGGTCCCCGAGATGAGCCTTTCCTCGGTGCCGAGAGGTACCCCCATCCTGGACGCTTCCTCTACTCCAGGATAAGTTATTGACGTACAGGTCATTAGCCTAGGCTAGACTAGACTATTCATCATGACCTCGTCTTACACAAGTAATGTCAGAACGTACTAGAATACAAAGGTCACAGCCAATAGGGGATGGACGCGTGGCATATGATATCACATCAAAGACAGACAAACCGCATGCCGTTGCTGACACGCGACTTGGGAAAGCAAACCATTAATTGCACCATTCCCTTGATGAGACCGCATTCAATGCGGTAAGGCTCGGAAATGAAAGGCAATAAATGCTCCTATTACAGAGCATTTATTGCATCCTCCCCGAGAGGAGCACATTGTACCGTCGACATCCCGACGATCCAGCATTGATTGCTCGGGACCCCGAGCAGTTAATTAGAGAAGACATTCCTCATCAGAATCAATGCACACGCTACCTGAGCCTAATGATCACCTACTGACGACACTGACAGCAATCATGAGCTTTTAAGGTATAAATACTCCTTGCAAAAGGCAAAGCGGGTATGCAACAAAAAAACTCTCTACTACAATACACACTCGTGTTTTCTCTATCCTCTCTCTCTCTCTCAAAGACTGACTAGATCGTCGGAGGGGATACGCCGGAAAACACTCCGGCGCCCTTCTAACTTGTTCTTCTTTGTTCCAGGAACCTCTTCCAGCCTTACAGGATCGCTCTTCCTTTCCCAGGGTCTCCCGTTGCCGTTCCAGGTTACCACCGTACCTGCAGGCTGTCCCAAGCAGCGTGTTTGGTCACTCAACCGGCTCACTCGAGTTCACCAAGGGAGAGATCTGTTCTCGTTTTTATATTGTGCAGGATCTTGCACGCACAATCTGGCGCCGTCTGTGGGAAACGACTAGTTTTCCTAGTTTTTTTCTCTATAAAGAACAGTGACCATGGTGAACACTCGACAGAAAGGGAAAGGACCCCACCAAAGGAGTCTCGAGTTACAAGCTCCCTGTCATCACGGAGGGAGGGATCACACCAATACGAATAAAAGTGCCTCTACTCGGTCGAGAGGTTACCCCTCAAACCAGTATGGGGATCAGGTCAGGGGGTCAGCCCCCTTGGCTCGTCAGCTGGCGGAGGTGATTGAAGAAAAATTTGGCGATAGATTACGTCAGCTGGAGAAGGACAATGTAAACGTCCTTAGCCGGCTCGACGAGTTTGCCGCCTCAGGCGGAGGGTCGAGGGATTCATTCCTTTCCCGTGGACTTCCCGCCCGGGAGGCGGAAACGAAGGATCTAAGAAACCACCTAGACCACAAAGCAGAAAGCTCTAGGGCCCCAAAGCGACCCAGAGCCGGCGAACATCATCATGACAACCATTCCAGGAAAGCAAGGCCATTGGCCCTGGACGACCTCCGGCGAGGTTTGTCTAGACGGAGGAAGGGAGATGAATCCGAGGAGGACTCAACCCAATCCACACGACGCCCAGGAAATGAGGGGCTTACCAATGAACTCAGGGACTTCAGAAGGCATCCCGTCAGGGAAGAAGTTGATCTCAGAGCCCGATTAGACTCCAGGAGAAAGGGTAAGACTGTCCAGGATGAGGCCGAGGACGAAGTCATACAAACACCCTTTACGAGGGAAATCAGTGAGATGGAGGTCTCAAGAAAGTTCGTCGTGCCGCGGTTCAAAACCTATGACGGGCGGTCCGACCCCGAAGCCCATATCAGGCAATACAAGCAGATGATGTCCCTCTATCATTCGGACCAACGGTTTCTATGCCGAGTGTTCCCTATGAGCTTGGGGGACTCTGCGATGAAATGGTTCGAGACGCTTCCCCCAAACAGTATTGGGTCCTGGAAGGAATTGACTAGGCAGTTCCTGGCCCGATTCATTACGGGGAGTAAGCGCCCCAAAGACATTGGATCATTGTTGACCCTCAGACGGAGGGAATCCGAGACTCTTCGCCAGTACGCCATCCGATACTGGGAAGAGGTCAATGAGGTAGAAGGCTGCTCGGAGGTCATGGCAGCAGCATCTTTCCGGCTCGGCTTGGCGAGGGACACGGACCTGTACCGATCCCTGACCAAGAAGACTCCCTCGGATATGGGGGAACTGATGGCCCGGATCAACAAGTACTCGAGGGTTGAGGACGAGATGGGAAGCAACAAAGGCCGAGCCCTCCAATCTAAGAGAAAGGAGAAGGAGCGCGAAGATATTCCCCGAAAGGGATTGCTACCCCATCCAGGGGGTTCGTCCAGGGAGTTCACACTGTTTTCAAGGAACCCATCTTCAAGTTGCTCCATAAAATCAAGCACGAGCCGTTCTTCAAATGGCCGCCCAGGATGCAGGGCGACCCCTCCACCCGTGATCAAAAGGTTAGGTGTTCCTATCACCGGGATTTCGGGCATCGCACCGAAAGCTGTAGGGTGTTCAAATCGTTCTTGGAAAGCTTGGTCCGAGACGGACATTTGAAAGAGTACATAGAGCCCAGGCCAGAAGAGAGACGAGCCCTTGCCCCGACCGAGGAACCGGACAACATCATAGACGTCATTCATATATGTCCCCTGGAGCGCCCCACGTCCAAGGAGCTCGAGTCCGACCTCAAGAGGGTAGCTTTTACAAGGAAGGTAGCCGAGGGTGATGTGGGGCCATCAAGTAAAAGGGCCAGGATGGGTGAGCTTGGCATCACGTTCTCCGACGCGGATTTGACAGGCGTGGTGATTCCTCATAACGACGCCCTTGTCTTGACCCTGAGGATAGGGAAATTCGATGTCAAGAGGATTTTGATAGACTCAGGAAGCTCCTCGGAGGTGATGTACTTCGAAACTTTGAAACGGATGGGTCTTGGCCCCAAAGACCTCACCAAAGTCAGGACACCCCTCATCGGGTTCAACGGCTCATTCGCCTTGCCCGTGGGGAAAATCACATTGCCAGTTGCCACTGGTCCCTTTATCATCGACACCGAGTTTGTGGTGATCGATACGGACTCTCCCTACAACGTGATTATGGGGCGAACATGGCTGCATGCGTTGGGAGCGGTGCACTCCACTTTCCATCAGAAGTTAAAATTCGCCACGCCAGAGGGTATCATGGAGATCCGGGGGGACCAAGCGTCTGCGAAGAACTGTTTTTATTCGGCCGTCCGAGCCGGGGCGTCCAGCCAGGAGAAGGGGCGAGCACCGGAAGAGATTATGGAAAAATAGCAATTACAGTCCGGGCGTCCAGGAATGGATGACCCCCGGATAGACCCAACTGAACGGTCGGTTGAAGACCTCCGGAAGGTGCCCTTGGTAGAGGGAGAAGAAGAGAGGTATTTCTTAGTGGGGACCTCGATGCCGACAGCCGAACAGGAGGAGATGATCGAGTTCCTAAGGGGAAATACAGACGTGTTCGCCTGGAACGAGATGGAAATGACGGGGGTAGACCCCGAGATAATCACTCACAGGCTGCATGTTGACCCGTCGCACAAGCCAGTAAAGCAGAGGCCACGACGCATGGCCCCGCATCACACCAACGCGGTCAACGAGGAAATCGACAAACTCCTGAAGGCCGACGCCATTCGAGAGATACAGTTCCCAGAATGGCTGTCCAATACGGTATGCGCAAAGAAGAAAGGGGGAAATGGCGTGTCTGCGTAGACTTTACAGATCTAAACAAGGCATGTCCCAAGGATGACTACCCCCTGCCAAAGGTGGACCAGCTGGTAGATGCCACAGCCGGATATGAACGAATGGACTTCCTGGATGCCCGAGCAGGATATCATCAGATCCCTCTCTATGCCCCGGATCAAGAAAAGACGGCGTTTATCACTCCGAAGGGAGTTTATTGTTACAAAGTGATGCCGTTTGGACTGAAGAACGCCGGGGCAACATACCAAAGACTGATGAATCGGATGTTCAAAAAGCAGATCGGCAACACCATGGAGGTCTACATAGACGATATGCTGGTGAAGAGCAAACGGAGTTGTGATCATCTAACAGATTTGGCGGATACCTTCTCCACCCTCAGAGAGTATGGACTGAAGCTGAATGCGGCGAAGTGCGTTTTCGGAGTGGAGTCTGGTAAATTCCTCGGATATCTGGTTAGCCAACGAGGAATCGAAGCCAACCCGGATCAGATTAAAGCGATCCTGGACATCCGAAGCCCTCGCACTGTCCGAGAAGTCCAGAAACTCACAGGGATGCTGGCTGCACTTAACCGTTTCGTCTCACGCTCCTCGGATAAATGCAAACCCTTTTTTGGAGCAATCAAAAGTGCTGGGAAGAATATGTGGAGCCAGGGGTGCGAGGACGCCCTGGCTGGGATCAAAGAATACCTAAGGACTCTTCCAACCCTGTCCGTCCCCATCCAGGGGGAGATGCTGTTCCTGTACCTGGCAGTTTCTGAGTTTGCGGTAAGCGGGGTACTTATCCGTGAGCATGAGCACCGCCAGAAGCCAATTTACTATATAAGCAAGGCACTCCTGGATGCCGAGACAAGATATCTACCCCTGGAGAAACTGGCTCTGTCCTTGGTCACCACTGCGAGGAAACTGCGGCATTATTTCCAGGCGCACCCAATCACTGTCCTGACCGATCAGCCCTTGAAAGCAATCTTGAGAAAGGCGGAACTCTCCGGAAGGATTTCCAAGTGGGCAGTGGAGTTAGGGGAGCACGACATTCATTTCAAACCCCGAACTGCGATAAAAGGTCAAATATTGGCAGACTTCATAGCTGAGTTTTCGGGGGAGCATCCCGTTCTAGAAGGACCGC